AAAGTCATATTATAACCTATATTACAAAATGGAATTCTACGTATTTTATATGAAAGAGAGAGAATAGAAAGTATAAACCTGTAATTATCACTTGACTGTAAAAATCAGTTATTTTCCATTAATTGATCTTTATCTTTTACAAAATCAATCCCCTCACTATAGAAGAATCAGTTGTTTTTCATTAATTGATCTTTATCTTTTATAAAATCAATCCCCTTACTATAGAAGAATAAATAGAGCGGAAGCATGTTTGGAAGTATTGCAAAAGAATATGCGGAGTTGAGCATGTTTGGAAGTACAGGAGAACGTTATGATATTATTATATTATTCGATATTGGGTCATCTCTCTTGCACGAAATCCATTACAAAAATATGTGGAACTGATCATCGTTCTTTTGCTGATATTATTACCAGTATTCAATACTGTTGATATTATTACCAATATTCGTACCAGTATTCAATACTGCTGATATTATTACCAATATTCGTACTTTTGCTGATATTATTACCAGTAATCGATACTGGGTCATTTATAGCATTACTATACCTTTCTTATTCACTGCATGTTGGTTCTTCGTTAGCACAACTTGTGTTTGAGGAAAAAATATACATTCTCGTCATTTATGTGCAAAGGGAAATATAAATAAATAAGAATAAAAATTTCTTTGGATTAGATATTTGTGTAGCATAATTATTTTAAATTTTAGCTCGATTCGTCCTTCCAATTGGATGAGTACTTTTAGTTTTAACTCGATTTGTCCTTCCAATTGGATGAGTAGGAGTAAGAGATCCATAAATGAACTACTAAAATCATGAAACAATAATTAAAAAAAGAAAAAATAGTGCGGAATGTTTCTCCGCTATGAATTCTGATAACTTTTCTTTGGTTTTGTATAGTTGCATCGGTAATAAGAGTTTGTATGGTGGATCGGTTGTTCATTCATTTTCCTAATGTAGCTAGTAATTTTATTCATCAATTCTTGTAAGTGTAAATGTAAAATAATAATAGTGAAGTCACAATATCTACCTCGACTCAAAAATCCATCAGAATAGGTTATTTTAATGTTGAAAAACCTTTCAATTGATAATCTAGACATCAAGATGTACGACTATGAAAAAAAAATATTGAGTCCCGTAAATAATGCACTTTACAACACCTTATCTAGACCATGTATTTTCAAGATTTTCGTATATTTATAGATCTACTTGATTTTACCTTTTAGATTTTAAAATTTTATAATCAGAGACCAAAATTACATGTTATGATAAAATTTGGAAATGCGACCTTAATTGGATTGTTTAAGGTTGCAACCTTATGCAATCCACGTCCTTAATTAAAATACCTCTATAAACCACGCTCTAAGATTCCAACTGAATTGTGAGAACTTTCAATCCAATAGTATTTTGCCTATTAAAACAACCTCAAGTTTTAAACCTAACCGAAATGATGAACAGTAAATTAAAGGGAAAGTATAGAATGAGACTATTTACTTTTACTACAAGATGACCGCTTCAATCTTGATCATTGGATGTAGAATTGGATGGCTGTAATTATTCCATTGACCAAGTTCAAATTTCAAAATAAATTTTATCGAACTTTGTGACACATCCAAACTATCAAATTTCACATCGGATGGTTATAAGTAAGTGTGACCACCTTGTATAAAAGGTAAAATAATCTTATTATATACAATCCCATAATTAAATATAAAAACTCTCAAGAATCGATTAAAAACAACACCATCTCCAACCGAGGTCTCCTCTCACATAAAATGAAACCGCACACCCGTTACTCGTACCCTGTCTTGCACATCAATTAACCCCGTTACTCGTACCCTGTCTTGCACATCAATTAATGTCTTGCACATCAATTAACTTCGTATCTCCGCATATTAAACCAGTGTTTGAAAACTCGTCGAGTCTGTCCGATTTGACTCGAAAATCTTCTGCTATCGAGCCGGTTTCACTAAAAAATCGAGAATTAAACCAGTGTTTGAAAACTGGCCGAGTCTGTCCTGTTCGACTCGAGAATCGTCTGCTACCTAGCCGGTTCTATAAAAAAATCGGAAATCGCCCGTATCCAGAGAGAACCGGGCGGTTCCCAATAGTGAATCGTGAGTCTCACCCAAAAAATATTTTTTTTATACATGCCCGCCTCACGAGAACAACATGTGGCCATATTTTTTTTACACGTGCCCGCCTCACAACATGTAGCCATATTTTTTTTACACGTGCCCGCCTCACGAGAACATGTGGCCATATTTTTTTTACACATGCCCGCCTCACAAGAACAACATGTGGCCACAAGTGGCTACCTCACGGGAGCAACATGTGGTAACTCACCTCACATATCTTCCCCCTCGCTTTCTACACACGCAATGGAGCATCTATTACAAAGGACTTTATAGAGAACCAAGCAACACTCATCCGTCTATGTGGGATAATTCCCATAAAAAATCATAAAACAAGATGTTTGAATATATATTATTATATAATCAAATATAATCACATGAGGCGACGCGGCCGTGTTGGTTGACAACCTGGATTTTGCGGTGGATGTCTAGGGTTTGAACCCCTTAGCGCATAACCAAAATTTTTTTGAGTTCGAACCCCTTACCACACAATAAAATTTTTTTTGAGTTCGAACCCCTTAACGCAAAACAAAGAAATTTTTGTTGTAAAAAAAATAAACAAAGGCAGAAAATACTGTTGTAAAAAAATAGAAAAAATATAAAATAAAAGGCTTTTCAAGATAAAGATAAAAAACATCATGCAATTTTTTTTTATTTTTCTTGAAAAAAAATACAATTTGTTGTGAAAAAAATAAACAAAGGCAGAAAATATTGTTGAAAAAAAATAAAAGATTTTTCAAGATACAGATAAAAAAGATAATACAACATTTTTTTATTTTTCTTGTAAAAAAAATACAAGGTAATACAACAAGTATTTATTGTAAAAAAATAAAACAAAAGGCAT